CACGCTTCAAGTGTGACAGCGCTTCGCACAGCTGGACACCATCACGCCTTTTGCTCTTTCCTTCTCCGAGCTCGCATTCTGCGTCTCGCGTACAACGCTGCGCTGATGATGTGTCAATATTTTCCGATACGCACCCCACATTGCAAACTCAGTTGTGTAGTTGGAGCGGGTAATGAGCCACATCCTGCTTCACGAAGCCCTTGTGGCACGATGACATTTTCTTGAAAATAAGACATTGGCGATTGTTTCTGTCGTACTATAACTTACGATAACTTTGTCTTCCTGCACATAAGGCATGCAAAAAAATAAATAAATCAAATGTGATGGGGGGAAAAAAATGTCTCTAATTTTACAGTAAAAATAACTGGACATGGGCGGCGCGGTGTTCCAGTGGTTAGCACGTTGACCTCACAGGGCAGAGGTCGTGGGTTCAATCCCGGCTCCGGCCTTCCTGTGTGGAGTTTCCATGTTCTCCCCTTGCCTGTGTGGGTTTTCTCCGGGTACTCCGGTTTCCTCCCACATTCTGGGGATAGGCATGCCCGCGGCCCTCGTGAGGATAAGCGGATTACAAAATGGATGGATGGATCTCACATACTGACTATACCTGAAGTACACACTCTTGCTCAGATTGTGTGCACCTGTATAGACACACCGGCCGTTATGTCATTCTAATTTGGAGGGGCGAGCAGGTTCAACATGTATGGAACATCTTAGACCGGACCAAACATCTGCAACCCGGTCGGTTCTGTGTTACCGCGGTGATAAGAATGTAGCGTATGCGGAGATGGATTACGCTGACTCAGTGTGATGAAGGACGGTCTTTGCTTTGCGGCTTGATCATCTTGATTGAAACCATTCGCCGTGCCGTCGCCTAATTTGACACATGCTTTGACCATGTGTCAGCACACTCGGCTTTGGTTACTTAAAGAAGGATGGGATAGTTTCAAAGAAGACGTGTTATTTGTAGATGTATGTTTCTTGAAATTAAAACACTTGTCTTTATGAAATGTGTGACATCGTTTGCTTAAAACATGTCAAGGATGAGAAATGGCAGCACACTGAAACTCTTAATTCGGTCTGACCTTTGTCAGTGCGACCGCTAACTCAAGACAACCGAACCATCTGAACCCACTGTCTTTCTGACTCAAATCACTCCAACTGAGTCACCTGAGTCACTGGTGTTTTCGGCTAGTCAGACAAGTCAGTGAAGCAGATGATCCGAGTCTGATGTTTCATTGATTCCAATAACTTGATCCACCTCCAGGTTCACCCAAATCATCTGAGTCCATAGTGTTCCCATGAGTCCGAAAACGTATGTCTTATCCGATTCATACTGAACCATCGGATGCTAACTCAGGTCAGTCCAATCGAATCATCTTTTCCCACCACTCATTAAGTACCTCTGCATTGTTTAATGAACACCATTGATTTATCCTGGGAACTGTTTGTAATATTTTTAGGCCATGAAACACGTGTTTGTCATTTGAACTGTGGTTTGGCCCGGCCGACTCTCTCGGAGGTTGTGGGAGTTTTACCAAAAAGCAAACCCGGGCGGGAAAAAAAATGCTAGTGTGGCGTTTTTGTCCCACGGTTGGCTTGTTTTTTGTTTTTCAAAGAAAAACACAGTCAACTCATTATGCAATAACCTCATGTTTTGTGTTTTTTTATTCTAGATCACTTCATGAGCACACTGTACACTTAATTTTTTTGTATTTTATATCAACTCTAAGAAATTCACATTTACACAAAGCATTTTACATTATTAGTGTGTCAGTACAGTGACAAATATCCCTTTGTGGTCATTATCATATTTATAATACTGTACTATGGGAGACAATCACAGTGAAGAGTCACATGACGCATTTACTCCCAGCCATGTAAACAAAATGCACATTCAGGAGAATAGAGGAAAAAAAAACCCTACAAAAAAAAAACAACAAAGCTCGCAGGCACTGTGGTGCGACTCTTTGAGTGTGACAGTCTAATAAGTGCTTCAAAAAGAATTGAAACCAAAAAAAAAAAAAAATGTGTAACACAAAGACATGGAAAACGTCAGTGGCAAAACAATCACTTTGTATGCACTGTAAAATGTCATTTGTTAGCGATTTACTGTGATGAAGTTTTGGCGAAATTTGGTGACATTTGGTGCGGACATTTTCTTGCTTCTCAAATTGCATTTTTTATCACCTATTGAAATATTTTTGTTGGGGTGGCAGGTGCATTTTTTTGGTGGCATTTTTGTTGTCTGTTTTTTAGCAGGATTACAGACAATATTCAGTACTGCTTTCTACAGAGTTTTGTGCAGCCATTTCTATTAGGCTTTACATTTGTACTCCAGAAACAGTCACAGAGAGATTAAAGTTTATTTTGAAGATTTCACTGGCAGTATATTTTTTTTTTAAGATGGGCTCTCCACTCAATACTAACAGCTTTCTGCTTGAATGCCACAAAGATGAGGATGAATCACGCCCACGCTGCATCTCGACAGAAGTGTGATTCATATCCTCGCCGAGTGCATGTGTGTGTGTGTGCGCGAGTGCGTGTGCGCGCACGTGGCCGCTGCTTGTTAGCCTCCAACTTGACCACAGCCATGCATGAATCTCAAGTCCAGGGAAGAAATAAAGGAGCAAAAGGTTAATTGTATGGCGATGTTGGCGGCCACGTGAGCCATTTGATGACTAACTTCTGCATTCGCTCACTTTTCGGAGCTCGATCTCACCAGCAGTGCTGGGTAGGTTGGCTCTGCCTTCAGCGTAGGACCACTTTTCGTGCCGCAAGACGCCAGGCAGAGTAATTAAGAGCAAGAACAAGAGACGGAGAAGCCACTCAACTGATCTCCAGTCATGGTCGTCGTTCCCACAGAGCAATATGGACCTATGGACACGTACGCTCCATTCTTGTGTTGCTGCTCCATGTTGAAATAGAGGCTGTTTAAAGGTTTTTAATCAACATCTTTGCTTACAATAAACTAGTAGGCTTTTGTTAGATGAAATGATATGGTTGGAAGGTAAAATGTTCAATTTTACAGTCAACTTCAAATGGGAGAGGCAAATAAACAGCTTGAAGCAAGCACGCGGAGTCTCCTATTGGGGGACCTGCATTAGCGAGAGAGTGAAAAAAGGCGCTAAGCAACACTTGAAAAAGTGTGTTTTTAATAAGTTGAAGCATTTTGGGGGATTTGAGTCTTTCTCCTCAACCGTTGGGATTTAAATCGAATCATAAACAAGTTCAAATGAAATGAGTGGGACCTTCATGGTGAGTTTGGCCATATTACCAAAGTGACCCCAAGATGGCCGCCATAAGCCAAAATGGCAGACTTCCTGTGTCTTTTCAGGCTTGCTTTCTTGAGACCTTTACGTATCTATTCATAAGAGACAGGTCTACCAAATTTAATGTTGCTCAGTAAAACCGGATTCAGAGTCTGAATTGACAACTGACATGATTAAAGTTCTATATTTTACTGAGAGTCAAACAACTTTGCTTCCTCAATTTAACATTACCCGGCTTGTCTAAAATGAGTTCGCTAGCCAGAATCATCATAAAGCGGTCTCCTCAAATCAAAATGAGAGACTGTTTCTTTTCAGGGCTGACTCCTTGAGGATTTTTTTTGTGGTGTCTACTCATGATTGACATGCCTACCAGATTTAATGTTTCTAAGTTTAACTGGCTAACAGGCTGCATTAAAAAAAGTTCAGCTGAACATACCTGTAACTTGTACCTGTGCGCAATTTCAAAAATGTTCATGATCGAAGTGAAAGAGAGTCCTTGAACGTATCAAGTTCACCTTTCATGAGCCCACTTTGTTGAAAGCAAGACGCTGCGTTGAGGGTCGCTGCTTACGTCACGGCGCATCTTGAAGGCTTCGCTCGCCATTGTGTTGAGAAGGCAAAAACAGACCCCTGCTTGAGCCATCATTATTGAAAAATGAATCTGGAACCTTGAAGGAGAAGCGCTTCCGTTACCCCGACAGCAGGATGTTCGCAAAAATAAAAAGCAAATCTGACGTGACACTAGTCCGAGAATCTGAAGGAGGAGGAATCTGAAGGCATGAGTCGGACCTCCCAGGCACCGGTGGGTTTCAAGGCCAAATCCTCGTGGAGTGGTCAGGAAAAAAAAAATGAGGTTAGTCGGAAAAATTAGCTTGTGGAGTATTTGCTAAAATGCACTTTTATCTGAATAAGTCGATACGCTAAGAGTCCAGGCACGTGGTTCTATGAGACTCCGCATGCAGGGATGAAGAGTCTAGAAGAGGTCCGTCTACAGCCAGTCTTCGGGGGGATGGAGGGGGGGCAATTCCAAGTTCATGTGCCCCCCCTCCCTGCTGCTTTCTTGAATGAAGGAGCACTGTTTTACGTGGCCTTCCTTTTCTTCTGCCTCAGACTTCGGGAGGAGGCGTGATGGTCTCGGGACCACCGTCCACCCTCACCACTGCAGTCAAGAGGAAGGAGAAAATGTCAGACTCAAGCTAGCACATAACAACAAACAAATAACAGCTAAGAAATAATACAACAACTTCCTCGTAAATTATTGTTTGATATTTTTGCGACCTTGGGTTCCCTTGTTTATGCAAAGTGTTGGTCTCTCCCCAAGGAGGCGCTGTCTTTTCACTGGCTCTATTCAAACGTGTTCAAGTGGCATCATTAGCAGGACAAGGATGGGAATCAAAAGCAGTTTTTTTTTTTTTTTCCCACAAACCTCTTAACCTGCTTTGCCACCAATGCCAATGCCATGGAAATGCCAGAGGAATGCAGAGGCATTCTTTATTAACGCACGCTTTTACTCCCCCCCCAAAAAAAGGAGTCGCACAAAAGTAGATGTGTGGAGGCTGCTTTCATCTGCTTCACACGCCCATTGTCATTCATTCATCTTCACCTCACATACTGAAGTACTGCATCGGATCCTTGAAGGATTACGGAGAAAAAGAAAGAAGCACGCACACACACACACACACACGCACACACTTTGTACTAATACTGTAATGCTATCTCAGAACCTGCCCCGACAGCAGGATGTTCGCAAAAATAAAAAGCAAGTCTGACGTGACACTAGTCCGAGAATCTGAAGGAAGAGGCATGAGTCGGACCTTCCAGGCACCGGTGGGTTTCAAGGCCAAATCCTCGTGGAGTGGTCAGGAAAAAAAAAATGAGGTTAGTCGGAAAAATTAGCTTGTGGAGTATTTGCTAAAATGCACTTTTATCTGAATAAGTCGATACGCTAAGAGTCCAGGCACGTGGTTCTATGAGACTCCGCATGCAGGGATGAAGAGTCTAGAAGAGGTCCGTCTACAGCCAGTCTTCGGGGGGATGGAGGGGGGGCAATTCCAAGTTCATGTGCCCCCCCTCCCTGCTGCTTTCTTGAATGAAGGAGCACTGTTTTACGTGGCCTTCCTTTTCTTCTGCCTCAGACTTCGGGAGGAGGCGTGATGGTCTCGGGACCACCGTCCACCCTCACCACTGCAGTCAAGAGGAAGGAGAAAATGTCAGACTCAAGCTAGCACATAACAACAAACAAATAACAGCTAAGAAATAATACAACAACTTCCTCGTAAATTATTGTTTGATATTTTTGCGACCTTGGGTTCCCTTGTTTATGCAAAGTGTTGGTCTCTCCCCAAGGAGGCGCTGTCTTTTCACTGGCTCTATTCAAACGTGTTCAAGTGGCATCATTAGCAGGACAAGGATGGGAATCAAAAGCAGTTTTTTTTTTTTTTTCCCACAAACCTCTTAACCTGCTTTGCCACCAATGCCAATGCCATGGAAATGCCAGAGGAATGCAGAGGCATTCTTTATTAACGCACGCTTTTACTCCCCCCCCAAAAAAAGGAGTCGCACAGAAGTAGATGTGTGGAGGCTGCTTTCATCTGCTTCACACGCCCATTGTCATTCATTCATCTTCACCTCACATACTGAAGTACTGCATCGGATCCTTGAAGGATTACGGAGAAAAAGAAAGAAGCACGCACACACACACACACACACGCACACACTTTGTACTAATACTGTAATGCTATCTCAGAACCTGTGAAATTTGTCACATTCGCCCCGGGCCATTCCACATCGGTACCTTTCACGCAGACCAGGGACAAGGGAGGGAACTTTGATGGAGTATTGTGTTTTATGGAAAGTCATAAGAATTTTCCAACGTGTTCTACCCCCCACATGCAGTGAAGAGAGTACAAGTTCTGCCGCAATTTAGCGCCACCCATCTGTGTCACATATGTGGTTCAAATTTGGTCGCAATTAGACAACATATTGACAATGACTTTACTTTTGAAGTGAACTGTGAGATTCACTGTAAAATCTCAGCTTCCCACACACTGATCGGCTTCCTATGTGGGTCTGATTTTGTTGTTTGATTTTGTGAGGCTTTTTTGTGGGTACTTGAAAGTTATGAGATGCACTCTTTTCAATTTTTTGGGGAGGGGTCCACTCATGATGGACTTTATAGACCACCAAATTTCACGTTGCTTGGTAACACTGGCTTCTGGGGCTGTATTGTAAAGTTTGGGATATGCCACCTACAAAATTTGGTTTGGCCTGAGAATAACAAGAATGACAATGAGGTAAAGCCATTGTCAAGAGAGGGACTTGCTCAAGCCCGAGCAATCCTAATACAACAAACAGTCAGAGTGCTGGCTGCACCATCCTCACGATCAATGCAGTCCACCTCCGAGTGGCTCAATCAAAGGGAAGCTTTGTGACGCACTGCTTGGCTCCCCACCCAAACGAGAATTCTTGCTGGCTACCAATAAAAGTGATGCGTTCATTTCATGCTAATAGGAAACAATACACCTGCCTATTACGATTGCGATTCGTAATTAAAGAACGACATCCTGTATTTGTCTCTCTGACAACCTTTCTGACTGTAATGTTACGCTTTGTACCCATCTGGGACATATATACTTTCTACTTGACGCTTTTCATCATTGAGTTAAAACGTCAGCATTCAACTGTAAGATTTTATCTTTGATCGGCAGCCGGTGGAGAGAAAAAAAAGAAAAAAAATAGCAGCAACGTGCAGCACACAAGGAAGTCTTACAGTGAGTGAGTGAGTCATCGTTTCTGCATGTGACTGAACCTTCGCGGCACACGATATTAGGTGCACCCGCAACACTGAATGACTGCCAGTAATAAAAGAGCTGTGAAAACCAAATTACAAACATAATTGGATTATTTTGATTGACGCTGTCAAAAAGCTCTTCATTAACATTTGGCAATAGAGCAAGCTTTTACTCAGTGACTTTATTCTTGTGTGATGGCAACCTGGATGGATGCGAGATTGTATTTCCAATTGTTGGTTGGATAGTACAGTAGGTGGATCGAAAGGCCGTTGGTTGAATAGAGGGTTGCCTGAATGGATGAGTGATGGGATGGATGATCGATGGATGCATATTGGGTTGGATGGATGGATGGCTAAATACAAAGGATACTTTTGAATGATTGGTTGGATAAATAGGGTGGTTGGTTACCATCTGTCATCCATCCATCCAATCCTCCATTAGGCATCCATCCCACCACTCAAACATTCAACGCTACCAGGTAAGATGGGATGGATGGTGAGTGGGTGGATGGATGTCAAATGGATGGATGGATGTTGGCTGCATTATTGGATATATGATAGATCTTGGATGGTCGGTTGGATACTTAATGAATGAATGGATGGCTGGATGGGGGGTATGGTACACTAGATACCGGATGCTTCATTGATTTATTGGTTGATGGACAGTTGGACGGAACGCATTGACAGGCACTGACTCACCTATGTGTTCCTGTGTGCGAGACCGCGCTGGCTGAGGCTGTACGCTGGCCTGCGCCTGTTGCTGCTGATGCTGTTCCTGGAGACTCTGGCTGTCCACAGAGATTCCGCTGTCACTGTGCAGCTTCTCTCCCTCTGGCGTCACCATCTGGTTGTTTGTCTCTGCCGCCGCTTCCGCGGCCGCCGCCGCGGCGCGATTATTAGCCGCCTGTTTGTTCTGCTTGCAGCTGTTCCACCTGTGGACAGAAGAGGCAGTCAGTCAGATCGGCCCTGGCTTGACCCTTTACCGCAGTTTCAAACCCAACCTTTGTGTGAAACCCTAACCTTTGCTTTAAACCTTACTTTGAAGCCCTAACAAGAGTACAGTAGAACCTCAGTTGACAGATTTTAATTCATTCGCGACTCTTCGTGAAAGGAAATATGAGAGAACCAAAGCAATTTTTCATATTACTATGAATGGAAATGGGTTTAATCTGTTCCGTCTCGAGACTGAGTCGCCTTCGCACCCCGGATGCCGTTCAGTAGGTTGAGACGCCTTGTCATCTTTCTGCCAGATGACCCGCCTGTCTTGTTTGTAAACATGAACTGACTGTATATAACTGTTTGACTGATATGGTTTCCAAAACTGCAAAGCGGTAACAAAACTGTTTACATATCTGCCTCCACTAGTTACCGTCGCCAAGACAACCATGACAATTTTCTCTCACCGTGTTTTCTTATTCTGCCGCAGAGCAGCTGATTGTTACTACAGCAAAAGTTACGTTGTTTACATATGATGATTGTGTTATACTGGGCATGCCCCAAGCCATTTGTTTTTGCTTTGGCTTGTTTACACTGGGGAAAAAAAAAACAAATGTGTATGGGTGTGTATGGTTATGGCTTAATGTGATAATTTAAACATTTACCATATATGTGTGTGTGTGTGTGTGTGCGTGTGTGCGTGTGTTCACATCTGCTTCTCTTTATGAGGCCGCTGCTGTAAAATTAACGCATGCAAGCATTTGATTTTATTGCAAGTAAATATGGAGACTGTCCTCCTCACTCTTGAGGAATATCGGTGTGTTTGTTTGCCTGGGCGCCCCTTCCCCCTGCCCCCTCCAGCCCCACCCCAGCCTCATAAAAGTGGCACTTGAGTTTCCCCCAGTTGGCACTTTTGAAATAATCAATGTGTGTAAAGAGCCTGTGGATGTGTGTTTGTTTGCGAGCACGCGTGCGTGTGAGTGTGTGTGACCTCAACAATATATTTCGCGTGGAGTGTTTTTGTTGTTTTTCTTCTGAAAAGGTTGTTAGTTTTAGTAGGTCAGAGCCTCCAGCCGGAGGATGCATTAGTCACCCTGAAACCTCAATTTTCTCTTCTTCTTTGGCACACTTTTCTTCTTCTACTTCAGTTTTCTGTGCCCTTTGTAGTCATGGCTTCATACGGTAATTTAAAACCCAACCCTGGCTTGAAACCCTTACACCCATTTCGCTTCCCTTTTTTGGGGGGGGGCCTTTCGTTTTGGTGTGCAGCTGACCTCTTAAAGGCGATGTACGCCACCAGGCCCACCACCACGGCGGCCAAGATGGAGCAGTAGATGGGGATGAGGTTCTCGTTGAAGCCGTGGCCGAGGAAGCGCGGCGAGCCGGCGCCGGGCGTGGTGGTCTCGCCGCCCGGCCCCGGACCCTCGGAACCATCGGGCAGGAAGAAGTTGGTGAAGGCGGGCGACGTCTGGTCCGTTTCGGTGGAGACGGATGGGAAGTAGGTGGGCAGCAGGGGATCTGAGAGAGGGAGGTGCACATCAAGGAGATTTTTAGTGCACATTTTTCACATGAGGGGCAAGTGGGTCAGTGCGGAAAATTTCGAACATTGCGATGCGATTGTTAACTTACTTTATGTTATATTTCCAAATGAATACATGGAAAAGTGCAACTTTGAAGCATATTTATTTGTCATCGGTGGTCGTTTAACGTTTCAAATTTTTTTTTTTTTTTTTTTAATAGACCTTCCACTAGTATTACAGTTACATTTAAAAATGCAGTTAGTGAACAGCAGTTTAATTTTATGTTAGAAAAAAATTTGACTTTGTTCCTATCGGACCTTTGGTCTCCGTGAGGCAGCCCAACTTTCTGTTCCCAGGACACAACATAGCAGCAAACTCTGCCCGGCAACAAGTGTCTGAGTGTTAAGTAATGGCTTCAATCAAAATACTCTTGCGCTGAGATCTTTTTCTATTTTTTTTTTCCGTTTGCAGCACATTTTTATGGCAGCTGTTTTTGAGTTCTGCTTGTGATGTTGCACAAAGGAAATGTTTCTCAGCGATCCCTCTCAGCCCCTCCTCGCCTGAATCAGGATCGTGTGGATCCATTAGATCAGGATAGGGATGGGTGGCTTGAGGAGGGCATGAGTTTGGCCGAGGGAATGTCTGGTTCCCGTCGTCCATTTTTTTTTTTCTCAGCTAATGATCGGTCGTACTTTCCATGTTCCCAAAGCACAATGAGCGCTCCGGGCGTCCGCCATTAAAGTCCAGCCCAGTGAAGCTGTCAGGCCTGCCTCTGATTCCTTCCCCCTCAGGGCTCTGGTCTGCCAGAACGCTCCAGTGTGAAGCGATTGGAGACGAGGAGGGTTGGTGGGGAACTGCTCCTCATTAGCTCCGTGCCGGAGCAGCAGAGATTAACCCCGTGAAACCTCCCAAGACTTCCTTCAAAGGCAAAGACGGCAGGGTTCCGACCACACTTTAACAATGTTAAATTCTTTGCGGTTTGGATCGATTACAGAAGACACTCAACAAATTTACATTCCAATTTCCTACATTTGTTTAAGGAGTTCCGCAGTTTACAGTTTCGATAAAACAACCTGGAACATTTTCAAAATTTCATATTCCCTGCCTGTCTGTCATTTTTTAAAAAGTGACAGTGCTCGTAGGCCATTGCTGAGTCTCTTGCTAAAAATGTATATCCCAATTTCCCCCGATAAAAGGTGTTCATGCCCGCTCACACACCGAGAACTGAACTAAAAATGCTGTTCGCAAGATATGCTCATACTGTAGAAACCATTAGCGACTTATTTCCAATTTGAATTAGGTTTGAAAGAAACGGCTAGTTAGCTGGATGACGTTAAAGAAATCTAGTTTATTTTACATAAATGGTTTTAGTGAGTTGATTATGGTGAAAATGGTTTGTTTTATGTTAAAAAAAAAAAACAAGCGTTTTTTACGGAGCTACATCACTTCATTTTACGTCTAAAAACACATGATTTTTTTTAAGTATTTGTCACAGAAAAACGAGTTGTTCAATGTTACATAAAAGCTCAGTTACTTTCATCTATTTTTGTTTATTCATGAGTTATCTGATGATGTCAAAAGAAAAACCGTATAGTCAGTTGTACGGCCAAACAGTCAGTTTGAACATCTTCAGTCTTCAGGGTGCTGTTAGTTTGTGTGCAACTTCCTTGTGAGTCATTCGCTGAGCACAAAAAAACACTACAGTGCAACGTGCGCCCCCATCGCCCCCACCCACCCCTCCCCCAACACCCTTAAGCATCTTGTGATGTGGTCCCAAACATGTCATCTGTGTCCTCTTCTGTTTCCACTTTGCAATTGATTTGCTGCATTGCGTCCACACGGGCACCGCCTCTGGCTGCCCGCTGGGGGCGCCTTCGAGCAGCAGCTCGGTACAGTGGATGAAAGAAAAAGAAAAGACACCCCTCGCTGGTGGTTGATGACAGGGCATTCCTGGCTGCCCGCCGGATCGCTTTACAGATCGGGTAGAAAATATATTTTGCAGACAGCGAGGCATCATGCACGTGTCTATTTAAAGCTATTGATTGCACCCCACCCCCCCCCAAAAAAAAACGGCAGTCGGCGTTTCATGACCTTTCCGCCGCGCGTCATCAGGTTTCCTGACTTGGGCCGGTGCATCATCCCGCTAATGTGCGGATGGCTAATGCTATTAGAGCAGTAACACAAGCTGATAAATGGAATAAAGTGCAGGTGTGTTAACAGTGAGCGCTGGTAATGTCTTTTTGCATCCGTGCAACTCTGAAGCGCAGTGGTGCCTCGACGTACGACTTTAATTCACACCCTGGCGAAGTTTGTTACTTCATGAAAATGATATTTGTTCTTTTATCTAATGCCGAATAAATGTCTGCTTTTTTTTTTTTTTTTCCTTTTCAATTTTCATCTCTGAGCCAAAAATGCAAAATGGGAAAATGGTCCATGATGGACTGAATTGGATTTGAATTTTTCATTAGTCCTCCAAACGGGACCGCCTCAACAGAAATTCAGAAAATCTTCGGCCAAATGGAAGCCTTTGCGCCGTCCAACCATCACGGGAAACGAATCTGACTTACTGCAGGCAAAGCGGAGCAAACTCAGACACTGGTTTTACCGAGACCAAAACTGGAGAAGAAGTGTCCCAGGAAATAATTGCCCAACTTTATATTAGCGGACCTGATGAGAAAAACATGGCTCCATCCCTCGGTGGGTCTACAATGCGAGCTCGTCTATTCATTAGGGTTTTGCTGGCTCGCCAAACAGCCCAGCGAGACGCATTTATGAGCAGGGTGTGGACCAGAGACGGTCTTGTGTGGAGCCCCACGTCAGGTCACACAATGACGTCTTTATCGGCCCCCTCCCCCTCTCCCCCCCAGAGAACACTCGCCCCTCTGTGGGGGCGACGCCTTCTCCGACGCATCCTCGCTTCCTTTCCAGAGGAAGATGTGGTGGACGGAAGAGGGGAGTGTTAATGAACAGAAGAGCTGCTGTCCAGGTTCCCAATTAGCCTTGGACGCTCAATGGGCGCCGGCCAAGAGAGGGGAAAGCGAAATAAAGGGTAAGGTTGGTGTGGGGTGAGGGGGGCACACACAGCACCTGCAAGCTGTGAGAGGACATCAATACTAAGGTCTTATTCATTCTTAGAAATGAGACTAATTCCAAGTTTTCTGGTCATCGCATCATCCCAGAAGTACGTATTGCTAAAAATCATGACAGGTCTGGAAAGCCCGCATCACTGGCTTTCATTTGAATTGCGACTCGTATCGTTCGTCGCCAAAATGTTTTGAGTGCCTGAGCACTTGGTTTGGAAAGGTACTCTTAGAGTCGCTGTTGATCATAATTTCGCCAAGTCTTCATGACAGGTTATACAAAAAATTCTCAAGGGGCCAGGGACAGAAATTGAACCGGATGTAAGCTATTTTTGTTGGATAGAATGTTGTGGAGTTTAAACACGCTTCGCAGGAGAAAGCGTGCGTATTATTGATTTTGGATACTCATCATAGGGTGTGGGTCTGTGTGTCTATCTGGGTGTGTTGATGGAGGTCACTCGGCGAAACCTGAGCCCCGGTCACAGGAATCCCATGACCCTGATCAACCCATCATCATCAACTTCAAGGAATAGCGGCGCAGCGCTACATTCTGCTCTCATGTTCAGATTGTTTCCGCTTCCTCTGCTGCCACACGCTAGGAATGATTCACAGCTTTTGCCATTGGTGCGTTTTGGTTTTTGCTCCTTGAAAGGGGTAACGTGCTGAGGTCAAGTGCTGCCAAGTCGGATCTTCAAATGGCAGGAAGTGGAACTCTTTAGCGTGAAAGAGGTCAACGCGAGGGTACACATGAATACGTAGCTCTCCCGCTGAGAAAAAGGGCGCAGTGGAAGCTGTAAATTAAGCCGGGCCCGCGGTGATTCAAATCAGACACCATCAGAGGGCTTCAAAGTGGACACGCTCAAGTTCAGAGACGCACCAATGATGAAATGACAACGAATTGTTGATTAAAACGATCGTCTCTGGGAAGCCTTGGGAGCTTTGAAATAGATAAAAGTTGGGTTTTTCTCTCTCTCTCTCTCTCTCTCTCTCTCTCTCTCGCTCTCCATGTAACTTGTTAGGGAGTGCTTTGTGTCCGAAATGGCGGCTCGTAAATTAGGCCCGTGTCTTTTTAATAGGTCATTCACAATGGTGGAATTGAAAAGCAACTGGGCAGCACAGTGCTCTAAGTGCTTCAGCATGTCAGATCAAAGGATAAGTGTTAAAAAAGGTCTGTAACAGACTCTCCAGCTGCACCAAAATGCTGCTGCTTGAGTACTGACTGTAAGGAGAATATGGTCGCTCTGAATTTAAAGACCTTCTTCTCTTCTAAGTCCTGTCTAAAGTAACAACAAAAATGTCATAATTCTCTAGTATTAGCATCACAGACTACGTTAACATGCACTTTTCAAAAGGTTTTGCAAGGCCATGTAAACGTGCCATAACCCGAATAAGATCCCTGGGTTACTCCTTTTCAAACCCGAATAGTTGGTCATGTAAAAACAATCAGGTTAAGTAATGTGGAAACTTGGGTTCAAGACTCCATAACAGTCGACAGTTATGTGTTTGAATCTCTGGTTCTGCTGCTCGAGCACTGACAAAAACTGCAAAAGCGCGACACGAGGCTACTTACTGTGACAGACCGAGTCGCTGACAGGCGTGCAGTGCGCCAACTGGATCTCGGTCTCGTCGTCGCAGATGGTGCAGGGCAGGCAGGGGTCCAGGGAGCTGTCACGGTCCGAGAAGGTAAAGTCCACGCACTCCTCGCACACCGTGTCGTGGTCATGCTCGCAGTGGGCGAAAACGCCCTCGCCTGCCGGGCACACCGTGCATGGCTCGCAGCGTCCCGACAGTTCGTCAAAGTAGAAGTTGTAGCGGCACACGCAGATGGCGTCGTTGGAGTCGGTGCACGGCGTCTCCATGCGCATCAGGCCCGTGCACTGGGTGCACGCGTGGCACTCCTCTGTGTGGCTGTAGTTCTCGGAGAAGGTCTCGCCTGGAGACGAGAATGTAGGGTGGATTGTTTTTTTTTTTTCAACAAATCATCTATTCCAAAAAGTTCAAGGCTGAAATTTGACAATTTAGTCGGAGTTAATAGAAAAGACACCTGTAATTCATCCATCCATCCATCCATTTTCTGAACCGCTTCATCCTCACAAGGGTCACGGGTGTGCTGGAGCCCATCCCAGCCGTCTTCGGGCAGTAGGCGGGCGATACCCTGAACTTGTTGCCAGCCAATCGCAGTGCACACAGAGACGAACAACCATTCACGCTCACACTCACACCTAGGGACAATTTAGAGCACAGGTGTCGAAGTCCGGTCCTCGAGGGCCGGTGTCCTGCATGTTTTCCATCCCTCCCTGCTGCAACACACCTGATCAAAATGATCAGTTCATCAGCAAGCTCTATCGGAGCCTGATAGTGATCCTGATCATTTGAATCAGGTGTGTTGCAGCAGGGAGGGATGGAAAACTTGCAGGACACCGGCCCTCGAGGACCGGACTTCGACACCTGTGCAATACAATGAAATTTCTTCACCCCAAGAGGTCTGACATTGAATGATAAATGTTTGGTAGATCGACAAAAAGAAAATAAGTTTTACATCTGATACAGTACATCTTCCAAGCAGAAAATACTTTGACACATCCAATATGGCAGTGCCGTTGACATAAAGTTCAGTGCCCAAGACGGAGTTCATGAATGTCTATGGTTTTGAGGCATTGTTATATTGCATTTACAATGTTTGACCAGTGGGTGGCAATGTAAGGAATGTTTCCTCTTAGCCAACTGACGCACGATTTTGTCACTCATCAGGCATTCCACTACAGGGACCACCTTAATTAAATGAAAGTACTTGTTTAGGTTAGATGTATACAATGTTGAACCAATTTTACTATACAGTACAGGAGGGATGTGATCCTCTCATCGAGTGGTATACCGTGGGAGTTTTTTTTATTTTTACTAATTATTATTTCCCCCAATAATTAGCAACAATGGTTTAGCAATGTAGGGAAAAGAATAATAAGTAATATGCAGGAGAAGATACAAATCAAAAGGCAAAACTTTATTTCTATGAGTCCCTGTAAAATTTTTCACATTTTCAAATTTTACCCTCTACAATATTCTGGGGAAATTACAATAACCTTGTTCCTGTGGGCTATTCCACCCCCCCCCAAAAAAAAACGGCAGTCGGCGTTTCATGACCTTTCCGCCGCGCGTCATCAGGTTTCCTGACTTGGGCCGGTGCATCATCCCGCTAATGTGCGGATGGCTAATGCTATTAGAGCAGTAACACAAGCTGATAAATGGAATAAAGTGCAGGTGTGTTAACAGTGAGCGCTGGTAATGTCTTTTTGCATCCGTGCAACTCTGAAGCGCAGTGGTGCCTCGACGTACGACTTTAATTCACACCCTGGCGAAGTTTGTTACTTCATGAAAATGATATTTGTTCTTTTATCTAATGCCGAATAAATGTCTGCTTTTTTTTTTTTTTTTCCTTTTCAATTTTCATCTCTGAGCCAAAAATGCAAAATGGGAAAATGGTCCATGATGGACTGAATTGGATTTGAATTTTTCATTAGTCCTCCAAACGGGACCGCCTCAACAGAAATTCAGAAAATCTTCGGCCAAATGGAAGCCTTTGCGCCGTCCAACCATCACGGGAAACGAATCTGACTTACTGCAGGCAAAGCGGAGCAAACTCAGACACTGGTTTTACCGAGACCAAAACTGGAGAAGAAGTGTCCCAGGAAATAATTGCCCAACTTTATATTAGCGGACCTGATGAGAAAAACATGGCTCCATCCCTCGGTGGGTCTACAATGCGAGCTCGTCTATTCATTAGGGTTTTGCTGGCTCGCCAAACAGCCCAGCGAGACGCATTTATGAGCAGGGTGTGGACCAGAGACGGTCTTGTGTGGAGCCCCACGTCAGGTCACACAATGACGTCTTTATCGGCCCCCTCCCCCTCTCCCCCCCAGAGAACACTCGCCCCTCTGTGGGGGCGACGCCTTCTCCGACGCATCCTCGCTTCCTTTCCAGAGGAAGATGTGGTGGACGGAAGAGGGGAGTGTTAATGAACAGAAGAGCTGCTGTCCAGGTTCCCAATTAGCCTTGGACGCTCAATGGGCGCCGGCCAAGAGAGGGGAAAGCGAAATAAAGGGTAAGGTTGGTGTGGGGTGAGGGGGGCACACACAGCACCTGCAAGCTGTGAGAGGACATCAATACTAAGGTCTTATTCATTCTTAGAAATGAGACTAATTCCAAGTTTTCTGGTCATCGCATCATCCCAGAAGTACGTATTGCTAAAAATCATGACAGGTCTGGAAAGCCCGCATCACTGGCTTTCATTTGAATTGCGACTCGTATCGTTCGTCGCCAAAATGTTTTGAGTGCCTGAGCACTTGGTTTGGAAAGGTACTCTTAGAGTCGCTGTTGATCATAATTTCGCCAAGTCTTCATGACAGGTTATACAAAAAATTCTCAAGGGGCCAGGGACAGAAATTGAACCGGATGTAAGCTATTTTTGTTGGATAGAATGTTGTGGAGTTTAAACACGCTTCGCAGGAGAAAGCGTGCGTATTATTGATTTTGGATACTCATCATAGGGTGTGGGTCTGTGTGTCTATCTGGGTGTGTTGATGGAGGTCACTCGGCGAAACCTGAGCCCCGGTCACAGGAATCCCATGACCCTGATCAACCCATCATCATCAACTTCAAGGAATAGCGGCGCAGCGCTACATTCTGCTCTCATGTTCAGATTGTTTCCGCTTCCTCTGCTGCCACACGCTAGGAATGATTCACAGCTTTTGCCATTGGTGCGTTTTGGTTTTTGCTCCTTGAAAGGGGTAACGTGCTGAGGTCAAGTGCTGCCAAGTCGGATCTTCAAATGGCAGGAAGTGGAACTCTTTAGCGTGAAAGAGGTCAACGCGAGGGTACACATGAATACGTAGCTCTCCCGCTGAGAAAAAGGGCGCAGTGGAAGCTGTAAATTAAGCCGGGCCCGCGGTGATTCAAATCAGACACCATCAGAGGGCTTCAAAGTGGACACGCTCAAGTTCAGAGACGCACCAATGATGAAATGACAACGAATTGTTGATTAAAACGATCGTCTCTGGGAAGCCTTGGGAGCTTTGAAATAGATAAAAGTTGGGTTTTTCTCTCTCTCTCTCTCTCTCTCTCTCTCTCTCTCGCTCTCCATGTAACTTGTTAGGGAGTGCTTTGTGTCCGAAATGGCGGCTCGTAAATTAGGCCCGTGTCTTTTTAATAGGTCATTCACAATGGTGGAATTGAAAAGCAACTGGGCAGCACAGTGCTCTAAGTGCTTCAGCATGTCAGATCAAAGGATAAGTGTTAAAAAAGGTCTGTAACAGACTCTCCAGCTGCACCAAAATGCTGCTGCTTGAGTACTGACTGTAAGGAGAATATGGTCGCTCTGAATTTAAAGACCTTCTTCTCTTCTAAGTCCTGTCTAAAGTAACAACAAAAATGTCATAATTCTCTAGTATTAGCATCACAGACTACGTTAACATGCACTTTTCAAAAGGTTTTGCAAGGCCATGTAAACGTGCCATAACCCGAATAAGATCCCTGGGTTACTCCTTTTCAAACCCGAATAGTTGGTCATGTAAAAACAATCAGGTTAAGTAATGTGGAAACTTGGGTTCAAGACTCCATAACAGTCGACAGTTATGTGTTTGAATCTCTGGTTCTGCTGCTCGAGCACTGACAAAAACTGCAAAAGCGCGACACGAGGCTACTTACTGTGACAGACCGAGTCGCTGACAGGCGTGCAGTGCGCCAACTGGATCTCGGTCTCGTCGTCGCAGATGGTGCAGGGCAGGCAGGGGTCCAGGGAGCTGTCACGGTCCGAGAAGGTAAAGTCCACGCACTCCTCGCACACCGTGTCGTGGTCATGCTCGCAGTGGGCGAAAACGCCCTCGCCTGCCGGGCACACCGTGCATGGCTCGCAGCGTCCCGACAGTTCGTCAAAGTAGAAGTTGTAGCGGCACACGCAGATGGCGTCGTTGGAGTCGGTGCACGGCGTCTCCATGCGCATCAGGCCCGTGCACTGGGTGCACGCGTGGCACTCCTCTGTGTGGCTGTAGTTCTCGGAGAAGGTCTCGCCTGGTGACGAGAATGTAGGGTGGATTGTTTTTTTTTTTTCAACAAATCATCTATTCCAAAAAGTTCAAGGCTGAAATTTGACAATTTAGTCGGAGTTAATAGAAAAGACACCTGTAATTCATCCATCCATCCATCCATTTTCTGAACCGCTTCATCCTCACAAGGGTCACGGGTGTGCTGGAGCCCATCCCAGCCGTCTTCGGGCAGTAGGCGGGCGATACCCTGAACTTGTTGCCAGCCAATCGCAGTGCACACAGAGACGAACAACCATTCACGCTCACACTCACACCTAGGGACAATTTAGAGTGTTCCGTTAACCTGTCATTTTTGTTTTTGGAATGTGGGAGGAAACCGGAGTACCCGGAGAAAACCCACGCAGGCACGCGGAGAACATGCAAACCCCACACAGGAAGGCCAGAGCCGGTATCGAACCCTGCACCTCTGCACTGTGAGGTGGATGTGCTAACCGGTAGACCACCGCGCCGCCCTACTTATCGATTTATTTATTCATTTTGATATTTAAGATTTTCGTTTCCCATTTCTCCCCCAGCACCCATTCAGTAGGTTATGATTGAAGTGTGGGGGGGGTTGCCCGTAAATAACGTTCAAAAATACATGCCACCTGTCCAATTTTTGCTAGTTAAATGCTCCTGAAAGGCTTCTCATCTTAGGCCGTGTTGTAAATCATGAGCGGGCAGGGCTGGCGGGGGCTGTAACAGAAGTAACAACATGACGTGTGTATGTGTCAGACTGCACATGGGGGGTGTCATGTTGATTAACAGGACTTTAGGGGCTGTGAAAACTCCACCGCACCGTTCTCGTCTCGCTATCTATGTTGGAGCACATGTTGAAGATCGAGCCCAGGCTGGCACCGCAAATACCTTGTGAACAGTGCCGATGTTCTTAAAAAGACTCGAGTTAGGAATGTTTAACCGGGAATAATCTGAGACAAGGTGGTCGGTCCGCCAAGCTCAATTACGAAAATGTTGTTTACAAAGGACCACACATACTCGTGTTGACAAATGTACCAAGCACTGGAATGCTACGTATTCGGATTAGGATGGTAGGGGGTTGCGCCAAGTGACCCCCTTTCTACGCCGCCTCCTTTAAATCATGCCGGAGTGCCATTAGTGTCATCAATAATGCAACATTGGCAGTAGGGGTTCTGGGAGCTCGGGCTTGGGGGAAAAAAAAAAAAAGCTGTAATGAAAAACCCCAAAGACAGCACAAAATGACTGTGATCTATAAGAATATTGACTAAATTGTTCCATCAAATTTCTTTCATTTTCTGATGTTATGATCCAGCTGGGCGACAACAGACGTTCATTGGCCGAAGTCCACGGCGCAATTTTAATCTTGCACGCCCGCTGTAACCTGATAACACGATAAGGCATCCACAGTTGTAAACACGATAGGTGGGGTGCGCAAGATTAAATCATTTTAATCAAACTTCAAGGTGGCGTTTCAATTTCACTTGCAGGTTTTGATTGACTCGTGGTCTTAATTGATTTGATGTAATGTTTTTGTTTGTCTTTTTTTTTCTGTCACGATCTAGAAAAGTTTGGGGGACTGAAGAAAGAATTTCTCATGCAGGAACGGGCACAGTCCTGCAAAATAAGGCGGTGCGGTATTCTTCTTCATAATGTTGAAAGGGGCGCGTGGCTTAAAAAAAAATTTGACAATAGACCTAAAGAAAACAAAGGGAGTGGAAAGAGAATTTCCTGTGCAGGAATGGGAAAGATGGGGTGCGCCAACTTATTGCATCTGGATTTTTAAAGGTGTGTTTTTAGGGAAGGCCTGTGCTCAAGAATTAAACACTGGATTGCTTCCAGCTGACTTGCTTTAGGAAGTGGTGGGAAGAAGAGTTGATTGGGAATTTCCTATGTCTCCTTGCAACTTTGCTTCCAGTCTTGAATCCGGGTCCAATTGGCTCTTAATCACTACGCTGACCTGTCAGCTTTTTTAGCGGAGCGTGAGGGTGCTGCGGCTTGAGACGGAAGAGAAAGCAAGAGACAGTTGATTAATATTTCAACAGTGCTGACGCTGACAATCAATCTAAAGCGAGTGGAGGGGGGATGCGCTGGTCATGTGGGGGGGAGGGTATCTGTGGGGCTTACACCAAGAGGAAGTTGGAATGAAATGGCGCCGCGGTAACTAAACATTGGCCACCAAACAGGAAATTTAGCACTTTGCAGGTCATCAATGATTCACTCAAGCACTTCGGCCGCACGCGCAGGTGAGTTGCGCCGTATGGCGGCGTTCCCGCGGGCCTCGACCGCATTAAGACTTTCACTCGCCACATGCTGCAGAAAATTGGAAGTAACCTCTCAGGGAGCGTGTGCATGTAAGTACAGCTCGGCTGAGAATAATTGTTCCTGATAAGCTCGATGAAGGCATTTAATTAGCGTCAGGCGGATAGTAAGATTGTATTCACGTAATAGTATGCATGATGAATGAGCAGATTGGGCCCTCAGGTGCGTCGCTCACGTTCTTGCATTTTTCTCTGTAGAGAATAATTTCCTGAAAAGCACACACATTCATGCCTGTTCGCAAAGTCCTGCAACACCCTAGGGCGACACCCAAAAACCCTGCTGATTTTTCGGTGCCATGTTAGCGAGGGATTAGCTAGCATTGGTCACTGGCTGATCACCGTCCGGCAAACAGCAGCGTGATGGAAGACTCACGTCGAGGTCAGGTTAGCCTCATTGAGGGGTTGATGTTGAAGAAAACAAGGTGGTAAATTAATGTTGGAAGTTTATATTTATTGAAGCTCAGGTTGACTAGACAGCTTGGTGGCAAACAGCGGCATACCGCAAGATTCCAGTTGAGGTCTAACAGGAAGGGTAAGGTTCTTTGAAGCCAGAGAGAGCACTTGTAAACGGCCGCGTGTTGGGGCTAACATCGTAAGCTAGCCTCAGAAGTAACATTGGAAGCGAAATTCGTAATCTCATGTTAGAATCAATGTTGGAAGGCTTTTGTTGGAAGCTAATGTTGAAGCTCTTTCGAGTTAACATTGGAAGCTAACTTTGGAAGCCAACATTGAAAGCTAACATTTACCGCTAATTTCAAAAGTGAACTTTGGATGCTAATGTTGGAGGCTGAGGATAGAACTAAAGTACGAAGCTAATATTGGAGGCCCGCTTCAGAAGCTAATGTTAAAGCTAATGTTAGAGGTAATGTTGGAATTAAACGTTTGAAGTTGATTTTGAAGCTATAGTTGGATCTAACATCAGAAGCTCACCTTAGTTTGCCTTAGCTCCTGTGATATAGGTAACATTGAAGGCAACTTTACGACTACTAGCAAGAAGCGTGTTGTTTGGGTGCCTTTTTAGGGCATTAAATAAGCGCCAAAATATGCAGATAGTCACCAATAGGTATTTTTGTACAATTACTCATTTGTTAGGTCCTACAGAAAATTTTGTGAGCTTGCGAATGGAAAATTGTGATTCAGTGGGGGTCACTTTAATTGTTGGTGTTTAATTAGCGGCAGGCAGATTGTGCAAAGCTGCTTTCATGTAACAGTATGCATGATGAATGAGCAGATTGGGCCCTCAGGTGCACTGCTTCCTCATACCAATTTATCCGCCGGTACAGTCGGGTGAGTCATCACAACAGGGAGGATGAGGAGGTGGGTGAAGAGGGTTTTCTGAATCGAGAAATAAAAATGGAGAGTCGACAGGATTGCGAGGGAGTGGTGGGGCTTCTACCCAATTGGGAAAAGGAGCGAGAACAAACACATCATTGACATCGATTTATGGCCACAACTTTGAGGAATATGATACACGTGTGATTTTAAAACACAAAGCAGGCTGTTCAGGTTCATGAATGTTGGAAGTCGAAAGAGAGAGGTCCATTTATTTTATGATTCCTGTGAGGAGTAAAGAATCACAGAATTTACAGCGCACATCAATTGCGTATTTTGTTGGCTACCGACCAGAAAGATGAGCAGCTGCTGGCTTGGAAGCAGCCAAAATTTAAATATGTTTTAAATCACCTCAGGCAAATAAGAATAATCACCCTTCAATGTCATTAAGCCTGCCACACACAGCCAAACGCAACCGAACTGTACAATTGAGAACAAATTACAATCGGTGGCTCACACTCGCACACCTGGCATTTGCCCCGCACACATAAATCGGTGCACTGTAAAAACTGAGACCTCTGGTGTTCTTATCAGGAAGCAAAGTGCCATATGTTATCATTTATTTGAACTAAAAACATGGCACGATTGCTCAAGGAACAGTGTGTGATTTTAATTTTTTTTTTAATGGTCATTATTTCAAAAACCCACTATTCAATAGTATGCCAAAAAAAAAAGTTCTACCACATCAATGTGTGTGTGTGTTTTTTTTTTTTTAAACCTTTCAGGGACAGCCGTTACTACAGTGGACAGCTAATCATAATATCAGGTTACAGGGTGCATGATAGGGTGAAGTAAAATTACATGGGGTGTGTTTTCTTCCAGAGGAGGCTGCCATGGGCCATGTTTAGCTAGCTAACATGTGTGACTGTTACGACTGCCGACAGTGGAGATAAAAGGTAAAGGATCTCAATTGTTAATCGTGGTGTGTCAATTGCCTCAAAGATTCTTACAGGACTCTTGATCTCGTAAATGATCAGTTGGCCTGGCGAAAGAACAGAAGAATGTCTTGACTGGAAAATTCACTGCTTTGCGCTACTCTGCATACCTTTAATGTACCAGCCTGTGTGGAGTTCGGCGAAACTTTTCTCAAGAACTCCGCCAAAGGGGTGAGAGCAGATGCGTGGGACTGATTTCGTAACATAATTCAACACAGATTTTAAGTCTGTTTTGTGACCAAAAAAAACTTTCTTGGGGGTGTGCATTCCTCAGAAATTCATAACATCCCATGTGTTAAAATGAGAAACACTGGTGGTTAAATTATTCTGATGCTAATCCCGTTAGCATGATTAGCACTCGGGCACAGAAGTGGAAACATTGGCCTTGCCATGTCCGCGACTGAGACAACAAAATGGGTTCAGGTTACTTCTCAAAGACAAAATACATCGTAATAAACTTTTTTTTTTTTTTTTTTTTTTTTTTTGGTCGAGTACAAAATTTTGGGGCGATAGGAAAACTGTTTATTTTGAGGAGCTTTGTTGATGCAAATCACCTTTTTTTTTCAACATGGTTGGTCACTGGAGTTAAGAATTTAGGTTTTTTTAATAGCTTTTGAAGTGGTTAAAAATGTGACTATGCTCATTTGCATTATATTTAATGCATGCAATATTTCCCAATAATCACAGAAATGAAAAAATGCCCATAGTCCAAAATATCATTGCAGTGTCTGACTCAATTTCTTCCTTCACCAATAGAGACAAACAAAAACTTACTGTCGAGACATTGCGCGCAGACGGTCTGCTTGGCGCCACACGGCCCGACCACGCCCTCGCCGGGTGGACACTGGCGACAGCACTCGCCGTCCTTTGTGTACTGGCCCGAGTCACAGGGCAGCTGCACCGCACGCTCGCTCTTGGACGCCGCCGGCGCCACCTAGAGGCGAGAACCACACGATAAAACACCCGCGAGAGTTGAAAGGAGATCGTCAATTCGGTGAGCTGTTTTCATGAAGGAATCTCACAAGAGTCCGCTTCAATATGTGACTAAGTGCGTCGTGTCGGCTTTGCTTGTGTTCTATTTTTTTGCGACACAAATTTATGGACCGGCGACTCACATGTCATGGGATTATGTAATCTGATTACAAAATGTACGTTCCGGTCATCCAACGGATTCGATCAACACTGACCAATGTATAGTGTGTTGGACATCATTTTGGATTGGTCTCTTATTGACCCCAAAAATTGGGTTGACCACTTTTTGACCAAATTTTGGTTAATTTAGTCGCAATTTTTTTCGTGTATTTGAAGAAAAATCTGATCGATTAATTGGTGTGTGTGTGTGTGTGTGTGTGTGTGTGTGTGTGTGTGTGTGTGTGTGTGTGTCTATGTACATCCTTCGCAAGTGTGACTTTTTTTTTTAGCTTAAAAGTTTCTAACTTCATTTATTTTTTTACTCTTTACTTTAATCCATAAAAGTAAAAATTTGCAGCCTAAAGGTTCACAAGCGCAACCTTCCTTCGAGTTTGACCTTTTCCCCTGCTCCGCTTGAAGTGCTCTCGTTTTTGCTTTCACCCTGATTTCACACTCACTTGAAGTGCCAGCATTCGGTAAAGGAGTGGGGATGAGGTTTATTCCTAAATTGAATCTGTGACCGTCCTTTGGGCCACCTGTCACAGCACAGCTGGTTGGCAGCGTCGGCCACGCCAATTCCGCCAGCTGCTGCGCGCCTGCTCCACTGTCATTCAAAAAGTCCTCCAGAAATTACTCGGATGAGTTTGCATCTGCGGATGGTCAGCAGACTCGAGCTAGGTGGGAAAACGTGTGGCCTGCACCCCAAGAGCTGCGGGTCAGAAGCTTTGTTGCTCCTGCTGATGGATGGATGCATCATTTTGGTGTGAGGACGACCGCAATTTCAGACAGTCACCCAAGGTGACACATGACTCATGAAAACATTGACGAGTGCTGTCGTCTTTTAAGAATATCAAAAGCAAGTTTTTATCTCAAAGACAACATAAATCATGTAAAATGACGTTAGATACAAATGTAATCAAATCTTTACAATTATAAATTCAATGTGTGAATCAAGTATAAAATAAAGGACTTTTAAATTCAGGCATGTGCAGCTGCGGTCCTTGCGGTCCGCTGTCCTGCCTGTTTTTCATCGCTCCCTGCTGCTAATTAAAAAAAATAAATCATGAAGAACTTCTTTTTGGATCCCTTAATGCTTACAAGAATAAAGATATGAAAAGCAGGCAGGTTGTTTGGCTGTTTCACGATACTTTGCAATTTCAAATTTGATTAACTTTGAGAGAACAGAGAGAAAAATTGTCAAGTTTTTGGGGGGGCAGTTTTTTGGGGTTGTGGGGTAGTCGGGAGTTTGTTGTTGTCTTATCCTGTAATATGTAAAACGAATCAGCAAATAAGTGGTTGATTGTTGTCATTTTTTTCGAGCTATCAGTCGTCCCCTCGTATTCACAGATTGCATAATTCTCATTTTAATGAATGAATTCGAGTTGAACTCACTAACACCCCCCCTCAAAAAGTACTTTTTATCATGTTTGTCAAAACATTCGTTACGCCTTAGATGGTCTGTAAATAAAAATAATCTCTGTCTCTCTCTCGCCATCTTGTTAGCTCATCAGGAAACTACCACGCCCGAGGAACAACAACCAATCAGAAACAGAAGGCGTGACTTACGAGGGGTCAGTCATATGTTGCGCACTTGTGGATGATGTACAGTACAACACCCCAGTAAGCATAAGGTCCTGTTTTATGGTAGCAAGTTAACAGCTAGGCGTGTGCAAGTCGTGCCCTCTCGAGATCTTGATTGTTTGTTTTTCCTCGGGCATGTTGGTTTCTTGTACATCAATTTAGAGGCACAAGATAGGGCCAAAGACACTTTTATCATGCCCCCCCTTCATTTAAAGTTTTGCACAGCGGCGAGTGGTTAGCACGCTCGCATCACAGTGCAGAGGTGCAGGGTTTGATTCCGGCTCTCGTGAGGAAAAGCGAATTAAAAAAAATGGATGGACGGATGCATGGATGGAGTTTCCTCACAGCACACCTCTCACAGCATGCTGATGTGCCATGAAACAGCGGTTGAGAATCACGTAGAAGTCACTCCAAAACATCAATTTTTTCTAACCCTGAAGAAAATTGCCCGAGGATCCATTTGGGTCCCCCAAACCCACACTTTGATCAATCTGACTCAGTCATCTAAAACCTTAACACATTGTTTACGCATGTGTTGTCACGCACGGGTCCTTTCGAGGCATGCAAGTAGCAAAGAAGTCACTCAAACTCCAAAATAAAAAGTGACGAGGTACTTACCAAAGCGTACATGATCACAAACACGGGAAAGGCAGTCATCCTGTTTGCGCGTCTTGTCCGAAAAAATGCAAAAGAGAAAGAAGAAGAGGAGCTATTTTCTCATTTTCATCCCAAATTGACTTGTCTTCGTTTCTCGCTTCACTGCAGCATCAAAGAAGAAGAGGAGGAGGAGGAGCAGCAGTGTCCTGTCCGGAGTGAGGCTCGGATGCAAGTGCAATGCAGAGGAAGAGGAGGAGAAGTGAGTCCCCCCTCGCTCTCGCTCGCTCTCTCATTCTCCCCTCCCTCTCTTTTGGCCTCTCACCCTCCCTTGCAGGTGTACGACAGGGAGGTAATCAAGACACGCTGCAGTCACGACGCGCCTCGCTTCCTCGCTATACGAACAGGTTGCGAACGGAGCGGAAAAGACCTCATTTGACACGCTCAGTTAGCGCGGTACTTTCTGTTTTCCACGCGATTGTAATTATCGATGAGAAGTGTTTTTCCATACAATATTTACTCAAATTATGACTTCACAAGTTCGACAACGGCACTGTCTGACTTGCGTACAGATGAGAATGATGTCATTGTATTTGGAAGATGCAAAAATGGTGAAAAAAACCACACGCACACACACACACACAAATCCATACTGTGTTTGTCATACATAACTAGTATACGTACGAATGGGCTGGGAAATAAATGACCTGTGTTTGTTGTATTGCGTGCAGCCAGCAGGGCTCCATGTGTTCTGCATATCCTGCATCGTTGTTTGTCATTGATTTATGCGTGCTTCAGTGCCGTCCCCAGCCACAAGAGGGAGACAGTGATGAACTCAAGTTTTCTCAAGTCTATATTTAACTTTATGATGAGGTGGGGAAAAGCACTCACGCTCTCGAGTTAAGTGGAAGTACAGATGTAAAAAAAACAAATACGCTAGTAAAATAAAAATAACAATGACTGAATAAATGAACTCATGCTCTTCAGCATTAACACAGCTGTCTGTATTTTTATTTTTTTTGCTGACCAAGCGACCGATGAGACAACTCCAACCCCCCACCAACTTCAGAGACAGTGATTTAGTTACACGGTCGAGATCTCGTATTGATCCTTGGAGGACAACTTCGACATCTCAGAGACCTCTCCCCGCCTCCCGTGGGCACCTCTGAGTGACCTTCAGCAACTTCCTGAAATCGTTAAACTGGTCACTTCATCAGGTACGCCTTCAAGAGAATCATGTTCTGTTTTGATTCATTTGGACACATTTTATTTTTATTTACTTTATCTTACATCCATTCGTTTACATCGTAAAATATTTCAACCAAAACAAATGCCTAGAATCTAATATATATTAGATACACCCTGTAACCTGATAACTTGATAAGCCGTCCACTGTCGTAACTGCTGTCCCTGAAAGGGTTCGTTAAAATAATATGCGTAGTTTCGTATCGAAAATTGTTGAATTTAGTAACGTGTAGATAATGAAACCACCTGAAACAGACACAAAATGCATTCACCAGGTTGCAACATCAGAGCTGACGAATTCCAAGGAATGGGTTCGTCAATTTAGTAACGTGTAGATAATGAAACCACCTGAAAGACACAAAATGCATTCACCAGGTTGCACCATCAGAGCTGACGAATTCCAAGGGATGTGTTCGTGATCACGATCTGGATATAAAGTACAGATGTTGTGAATCTTCACAGACAAACAGTTTTCACCTGCCTCCATTTGGAACACCGTGCTAATGGAACACAGCTATTTCTTCTTTTTTTTTGGGGGGGGGTGCACACAGCATGCATTACACGGCGCTCCGCCAGGGAATTGAAGCACGGGCCAAGAGGGAAGATAGGGACGGGTGACGGTGGGGGCTCAACTGCAAATAGTTACGCCAATCTGGAAAGCAGAGAGTTCGCGCTTCCCAGTAAGAACAGAGGAGCCAGACGCACTCATCCGCGGCGAATGAATAAGATGCGTTGACGTTACGAGCCGCGAGGATGTTAGCCAGACACGCAGAAGGGGAACGATGGGATTCTCCCACCGAGCCGCCTTTACGTTGTCAAATTCATGGCCCGGCTCCTGTCCTCACTACTGAGCTCGGGTGTCGGGCCTTCAAAGAAGACGGCCGTGGAAGCCCGCTATGAATTAGCCCCTTTTGTAGAATGATGATACAAATCGTCTTTCTCTACATATTTCACGTTTATTTTAAACAGACGGCAACATGTATGCCGTTGGGGCCTTTTTATTTATGCTTCCTCAGTCTTTGAACTCCGAACCACACTCGGTTGCGGTTTTGCAGGTCAAAAGTTTCACCTCCTCTAGGAAATGTCAAGTGAATGCATCCGTTCCTCCCTGAAATTATTGCCATCATAAAACATTTATTAACTACACAGTCATTTTTTTAAGAGACATATTAATGCATTAACATAAATCCCACAAATCCGAAGTCAATATTTTCTGTGGACCCAACAATGATGTCTTTTCAAAATGGCTGACAGGAAGAGCTCAGGCTTGAACAAAATCTTTTTTTTTTTTTTGTAAATCTTCAAAATATTTATTTTTACGACAAACTCCAAAGATTTCTGGGATTTTAAAATTATTTTATGATGAATGATATATATTATAATTATTATTATATTATTGTGTTTATTATTATGGGGGTTCACCATTGGTGAGTTTCACTTAAGTTAGCCTAGCTTAGTTTAGAACACTGCAAATCAATTTCCGATTAATGTACTTTATAATTCCAGGTAACGGTATTACAATCTCTAATTGTACAACTTTAAATGTTTAGAAAATGACCTCTGCCAAGGACATCATGTTACATTAATAGTGACATGCCAACGTTTAATTGTTGTGTCAGCATCTGCGGGATTCCTTTCGCCTGTCAACATAATGACTCAGCCGCCTTCACGCTGTTTGCTTGGTCGCAGGGGGCAGTTGTTTCACTTAATTGTTTCCTGAACTTTGCCCTTGAGTCTTTTTCCCTCTCATAGATTGATGGCGGGCACTCCATGGCAGACGTGGATTTGGGGAAGAGCAGAAGGAGGCGAGGGGGCTCATTTGTGTGCGTGCCTGCGTTTTGGCCAGGTGGTGATAACAAATGTACCCCATTTGTGACACCATCATCAAGTCCGCGCTTGATGCTGAGAATTAAAATCATTGCCCAAGCATTCCAGAGAAATTGTTCCCACTGCTGAGAGTGGCCGTTGCCAGACGTTCCTCAATTAGCATTCTGACTTGGCTCCCAGTTAGCCTCATTATGTTCCCGCCCCCCTCAATCGCATACAAAGCAAATTAAGGCAATGAACAGGGCCTCACAGTCCCTTTTTTCATGGCAAATCTTCAAAATGGTCCTGAAACTTTGACACCATGCTCTGCCCGTATTAGATCCCTTGGTAAAAAAGTGTCACCCTTGTACACTGGACACTTTGGGATGGTTTGTGCTCATTCCCAAGCAGTTTATCAAAGTAAGCTATGAGCTCTATTTCACACAAAAATGGCTGACTTCTTATGCACCGCGCATGGGACCGCGACACATTTTTGTTTACCGAATTTTGTGTTGATCAAGCCAACCAGTGTCAGGGGCCGTTTTTTCCTCACTTTCCAAGGAGTACTACAGAGGGAATTCGACCAAGATGGCTGCCACAAAACAAAATGTCTTGACTTCCTGTTCAATTCCAGGCATGGGTCATTGACACTTTTTTTGCACATCCTGTTATAAAACACACATTCGCCCAATTTTGTGTTGATCAGTCAAACTGCTGTTCTGAGCCAATTTTTTTTCCCCCAACTGTCCAGGGAGCAGGGGAATCGGCTGGTTGCGGCTGCATTGTCCCGCTTTTTAATGGAGACTGATAAGTAGCAGGGAACCTCTGTGGAGAGACTAAAGCGAGGGGAGATTCATCCCTCCTACACTCGCTCCAGGCAGTGGGACCACCCTAACGAGGGGGGTAGGGAGGGGTTGAGATTGTGTAAGGAAGAGGTGGGCACTGAGATGTGATTTAAGGGGGATGAATATAGACCCGCAGGGACATCGGGAAGGCGGGGAGATGGGAAAAAGACAAGATGCCCGAGTGATGGGAAATGAAACTATGATGATGACATGTGTGTGTGTGTGTGTGTGTGTGTGTGTGTGTGTGTGTGTGTGTGTGTGTGTGTGTGTGTGTGTGTGTGTGTGTGTGTGTGGTCTC